CTCAACCACTGAGCCACACCGGCCAGGCTCAATGCATTTTATTTTTTTAATGAAAACTTAGAACCCAAATATAATAGTTTAGATAGCCCTCCTTTTAAACTGCTTCTCTCTCCCAGGATTCACAAATTCTGAATTGTGGAGCGAGAAAATACTTTTCTAATTTAGTTCCATTTCTGTGGCCATCGGTGACTCCTCTGGGCTGTGCTCCTGCCGTCTGCAGAAGCAAAAGCCGAATGCTCCCGGAAGAAGGAGTGACTTTGAAATCAGGAGGAATTAGGATTTCTCCAACGGCGACACATGCAATCGAATCCCTCATAAATGTGCTTTGGGAGTTTGAGGTTCCCACAGTCCTATTTCAAGTTCTTTTATTTTTTTATTTTTTATTTTACAGAAACTTGTGTTAAGAGTAAGCCTCGGTAACAAAAAGAAAGGGGGAAATTAGACACAGCTTCCCCCCGGGCAATTACAAAATAAAGGTCAGCCTTTGGAAGGAAAATGATCAGAAAGACATTCTCCGGGAAATAAAAATACAGTTAGATGCTCCACATATAAAAAGGATGTCCATTCGTTTTCAAATCGATTGCATTCTGTGTTTTGTTTTTTAAGTACTTTCCTACGTAATACTCAAGTAGAAGCATCAAATCTGGGAAGTAAAGAGCCAACTGATTGTCAGAAATACAGTATGGTTCGAAATATGAACGAAACGCTAAGGGTGACTGGGTAACAAATGGCACGTTTGCTGGCTGCTCGGCCCGGCGTAATTAATATTCCGGTTCATGCTTAAGTCCCCATGATGGAGGGTCTGAAGGGAGGAATTCAAGAAAAATATATATATCTATTATATAACTCATTGCCTTCCCCCCCCCCCCCACCTCCCTTTTGACTAGACAGAATCACAGCCTTTAAAAAAAAAAAAAAAAAAAAAACACCGGCACTTTCACAGCTCATTTGCGGTCTCCACCGCTGGGCCCCCAGCCTGCAGTCCTGCCTGATGCAGGGAGGTCAGTAAGAGGCTGTTAGCCGAGTCCTCTCCTGAGAACCCCTGGGTCTTATTGAGTTGAATGTTAGCATGACAGTACTGCAAATAACTCAGTTGTAGGCTGTTTAAAAAAAAAAAAAAAAGAACCACACAGTTAGCAAAGATTTCCCCATAGTGCTGGTCACTCCAGAAAATGATTGCCCACAATGAAGTCCCACAAGCGAGCTTGGCAGCCGCCCTTCCACGCGGTGAAAAATGCGGAGGCTGAGAAATAGGCCCTAGTCCCTGAGGGTGAACTTGGTCTTCGGTGGCTCCTAGGAATATTTTTAGAAACCCACATTAAGCCGTTTAGTTGCAGGTGCCTTACACATGATGAACTAACTAGAGTAAGTTCACGTCGTTTTTTTTTAATATAAATATATTTTTATTGATTTCAGAGAGGAAGAGAGGAGGAGAGATAGAAACATCAGTGATGAGAGAGAATCATTGATGGGCTGCCTCCTGCGTGCCACCTACTGGGGATCGATCCCACAACCCGACTGGGGATCGATCCCACAACCCGAGCATGTGCCCTTGATCAGAATCGAACCCAGGACCCCTCAGTCCTCAGGCCAACTCTCTATCCACTGAGCCAAACATCATTTTATTTACTGCAAGAAGAATAATTAAATGGGCCCTTTCTCAACCTAACCAAATAGGGTATTTGCTGTGGGGATTGTGGGAGGGCCAGACATGTTTAGCATTAACTGAGTTTCTAAAATAGAGCATTCACTTAATTTCTAAAATATGAGCTTAATTTCTAAAATATTAACTTCATTTCTAGAATGCATTCTTCCTAAATCTAACCAAGTAAGGTGTCTGCTGGGGGGATTGTGGGAGGGCCAGAGCATGTCCATTGATGGCTTTCGCAAATGCACTAACTTAATTTCTAAAATATCGACAGCCGGAAGATTTTAAATGAGACATTTTCAATTCAATTAAACTGTATTTTCTATCTATATTTGATTTAAATTGCAAGGAGAAGCCGCAGGAGGAGGGCTCCATGGAGGTTGCAGAGTACGGTTTCAGGAAGCTATCAGGCCTGCGGTCAATTTGCATTTCCCATCGAGCCCCTGTGTACATGGGCATGCAAATTTGGGGGGATCAGAGGAGATTTCTAATGGGGGTGACGTGAATAGCTGGCAGCAGTTACCTAGGTAGACAGACAGTGTCAAGCATAAATTATAATCTAGTTAAACTGCACGTATTTTACTATTTTAATCTGGAAATGATATGCTAATAGACTTCCTTTCATTAGATTATCACTGAACAGAATGGCATTTTTCTTATATCTCTGTCCTAGACTTAGGTAGGTTTAATTATATTGTATGTCAGAATAGTCTTCTTTATGTAATATGTATTGTTTTTTTTTTTTTATTACATTTGATACATTCTCAATAGAAAATCACCTTGGAAAGATGTTAAAAATTACCATCCACTTTAAAGTTACTGTCCACTGAAAGCTATTTTTAATATATATGTATACATATTTTCTTTTATTAAGATCATTTCACTATCTGTTTACGTATCCACCTTGTTCTATAATCAGTGTTCTAGGGAGCGAATGTTAACTGACATTATAAATGGTGTATACAATGGCCTGTAACATTCTCAACACTGTTCTTTCTTATATAAATAAATTATGGGGGGGGAGGGGCTTGCAAAGAAGAGCTAGTTCAACACATTTTAAAAATATTTAAATACATTTACATTAGGTTGGTTTTATCTGATAAGATTCAGTCCCAGATTAAAACATAGGAAAAGCTGAGTAGGAGGTGATTTGGGTTAGTGCTAATTTCTGGATCACAATGTAATCGACAACTAATTAAAACTGACTTCTCAAGAAAGATGAATAGGGTATAATCTATAACTTTTTAGAAAGAAGTTGGTAGGATTTTGAAATAAATCTCAAGTATTTTACCAAGAATTTGGCTTTAGGAAACAGTAGTGAAGCAGAGACCTCATGGGCATGTCTAAATGATGCATTGTTATTCTGGAAAAGCATCTAGCCTCATCTTAAAATATATTTTTATCGATTTCAGAGAGGAAGGAAGAGGGAGAGAGAGATAGAAACATCAATGATGAGAGAGAATCTTGAATCAGCTGCCTCCTGCACACCCCCTACTGAGGGTGGAGCCATCAGTCTGGCATGTGCTCTAACTGGGAATCGGAATCAAACTGTGACCTTCTGGTTCATAAGTCAGTGCTCAATCACTGAGCCGCGCCAGCATGACCAGCCTCATTTTTAGTGTCTACCATGTGACAAGCACTCTGCTAGGCTCTGGGGATGCAAAAATATCCAACATAGAGTCCCGGCATTCCAGCTGCTGGCCTGGGGGAGACTGACACACAGAAAGATAGCTGTGGGACAGGACACAGAATCCAGCCAGAGCCAGTGGTATTAGACTCAGGTTAACACTGAATTGAGTGTTGGACTGGAAGTAGAACATTTCCAAGGATAGGTACTCAAAGGCAACTATCCTAACTAATCCTAATACTTGGGAACTGCTGATTCCATGAGGGTGATACAGCAACCAGAAATATTTATGGATACGATAGAAAAGCTCATTTTCAGGGAAAAGAGAGGAAGGTTTAATGGATCCATGTTTTTACATTAGTCCAGAGGACGCACAGAGCCAACAAGCCAATCATACTGTCCTCTAAAGTGTGACTTGTCCTTATGAATATGCATGTGTGTATAGGAAAAGGTATCAAAGTACGGTTCTGTACTCAACCACCATTGAATTTTCAGAAATATGGACATCTGCTAAACTGGAATTGAACATTTGTCATCCATACATCTGCTGACCCTCTGTTGCATAGCAGGTGCTGTGCTAAGTAAGCCCTGACTATTTTGACACAGTGTGACAAGGTCATTGATGAATAGCAAGGGTACTGTGACATTATGGAAGTAGACTCTGAACCACATGAATTCAAAATACAGGATGTTATTTTGAATATATTATATACATATTCATATGTACATCCACTTTGATTATTATTTTGTCCATTTTGATTTTATATATGTATAATCAAAGTGGATAAAATAATATATATATATATATATATATATATATAAAATATATCCACATATATATCCACGGTGATTATTATTTATATATGTAAATATATATGTGTATATATATATATATATATACACACATGCACACACTGGTTTATTATTTTAAAGAACTTAAAATAACTGCCATTATTTAATGAATCATCATTCAAACAATCAAATGTTTATTGAGTTCATATTTTGTTGTTATTTATTTTTGTTGTTGTTGTAATCCTCGCCCGAGGATATTTTTTCCACTCATTTTTAGGGAAAGTGACACAGAGAGGGAAATACAGAGAGAAACATTGATGTAAGAGAAACTATCAAATGATTGCCTCCTGCAAGAGCCCTGACCAGGGGCCAGGCTGGGGAGGAGCCCCAAACCCAGGTACATGTCCTTGACTGGAATTGAACCTGGGACCCTTTGGTCCACAGGCTGACGTTCTACCCACTGAGCCAAATCAGTTAGGTTAGAATACATACTCTGTCCCTGAAACTGGCTCAAGCCTTGCATATTTGGTTTGTCTGAGTGAATGGGTCACTATACTAGTAGATATAGTTCATAGATACACTCATAGTTAGTTAATGGTTAGAATACAAAAAGAATGACTTAAGGTGCTTCTGTTATTTTTCTTTTTTCATAAATACAGTGATGTAAAATGTACCTTGTGTGGTAGATAGGAACCACAGTTCAGTGGTTTTTAGCATATTTTGTCTTCAACCAAGCACGGTTCTGAAACGGCTGGTCTGGCATGGAGACGGAGCATGGGGCTTTTTTTAATCTTCCCTGGCAAATCTGAAATCCACCTCCAGAAGTCATTTCACATAGTCCTTACATATAGGAAAAATGTGACAGTACAACCTGATCTTCCTTTTACTTCGCGTGAAAATGAAAGACCCAAGTCAAACTTCTGTCTGCTTTAGATCCCAGGCATATACAACTCGCCCTTCAGAATTAATCCCGACCCGTGGGAACTGCGACTACAGAACGCAAAGCCTTTAACGCCTCCACGGCCCAAAGCCAGGCGGAAGCGGGTCCACCACCTGGAGAGCTGGCTGGCCTGCACCAGTACCCGGTCCTTCCCTCGCTCCCACATCCTGCCGCCCATCAACCGGAAGCAGTGCCAGGTACTCTTTGGTCCCATGTGAGAATTCTTCCTACTATTCTGTACTTTGCTGGTTTGTTAAAAAGTGACTGTTGTTTTGCCTCTGTGATCATAAAAAGGAATTTTTTAAAAAATATTTTATTGATTTTTTACAGAGAGAAAGGGAGAAGGATAGAGAGATAGAAACATCGATGAGAAAGAATCATCCATCAGCTGCCTCCTGTACACCCCCTACAGGGGATGTGCCCGCAACCAAGGTACATGCCCTTGACCAGAATCGAACCTGGGACCCTTCAGTCCGCAGGCCGACGCTCTATCCACTGAGCCAAACTGGTTTCGGCAGGAATTTTTTTTTTTTTTTAAAGAATCTAATGTTAAGTAAGAAATCTAAAGTATGTTTAAAACATACACCAAAGAAGCAATCAAATATTTATTTGGTATTGAACTATATAATGTTTTGAATGAGAAGTTAACACATAAGGATTTTAGGTTAAGATCTAGACTTTTGAGTGAAAATACTGGCTTTTTGCTTTTTTAAGAAATATTTTTTTTTCTTTATTGATTTCAGAGAGGAAGGGAGAGGGAGAAACATCAATGATGAGAAAGATTGATTGACTGTCTCTTGCACGCCCCCTACTGGGGACTGAGCCAGCAACTTGACTGGGAATCAAACTGTAACCTCCTGGTTAATATGTAGATGCTCAACCACTGAGCACACCAGTTAGACTGAAAATATTGTTAGAAACAGTACTCATTGCTAGAAATATTGCATGTGTCATCAAATACATTTAATGTAACCTGTCATCTGATGACCCATATCTTTACATCTAACTGTAAACATAATTTAGATTTGAGTACTTTTAAGAGTACTAGTAGATGAGTTGGGGAAAGAGAGAGGGCCTGAAATAGTGCAAGACTCCAGTAGAAATAAACAGACAACCTTCAATGTAGATGGGGATAGAGATAAAGTGTGGAGTGAGGTGTGTTGAGTGACCGTCCCAGAGCACAATCGTTCTGTCATCCCCACCAACACTTTAAAACTGGGAATACAACCGCCACCAGGTAGAATCCACCCGGAACTGGATTGCTTTTGGTTCACAGGCCAAGCTCCTTGAGCTCCCGCTTATGGGGTCTGTGCACAGGAGTGCCTCTGTTTACCTCTCTCTGTATAAGAAATTACTCCAGCCCAACTGGTATGGCTCAGTGGTTGAGCATTGACCTATGAATCAGAAGATCATGGTTTGATTCCCAGTCAGGGCATGTGCCTGGGTTGTGGATTCAATCCCCAGTAGGAGACGTGCAGAAGGCAGCCAATCACTGATTTTATCTCATCATTGATGTTTCTCTCTCTCCCTCTCCCTTCCTCTCTGAAATCAATAAAAATATATTAAAAAGTATATATACATCATATAGTAAATAAAATGTATAAAGATACATTAATATATTAGTAATTATATATAATAAGTTAAAGTTCATAATAAAAGATATATGTAAACATATATATCAAAAGGGGATATAGATAGATAGATAGAGAGATAGATAGATATTTATAGTGAACTTGGAATCGTGTTACTGTATCTTTAAAAAATAAAGTTCCAATAAAAATTCATTAACTCCTTTCCAATATAGCAATCCTCCTGTCCAGCTGTGAAAAGTACTAGATGATACTTATTTGCCATTTGTGTTATTTACGGTCCATGACTTTTATGGTAACTGGTTCCTATTATTGGTTTCTATTAATGTAAAACATAAGTGAACAGAAATGAGGCGTGAATCATTTCTTTTTATTAGCCCACTGTCTTCCCTCAGCGCTGGCAGGAATTCCAGCTGTGGCCTGTAAGGGATAACCTAGTTAAGGAAGGATAAGGAATAGGACTAGAAATCTTGGTCCCTCTTCCATCACTTCTCTCCTGCACAATGGTGGGCAAAAAGAGAAAATTATATGTACTTAATGGCACAGCAAAATCTCAAGCCACCTCTGACTTGTATTGTGCATTATGTGATGCTAATTCGTCAGACAACCAGTGGATTCCCACGACTGGTATATAAGTAACTACTAATTTAAAGGCAGGACATGTGGTGAATCTCTTTTCCCAGTTGTGGCTTCTGGACTTGGCTATGTTTGTGTGTGATTGCATGGCTGCTATTGTATCAAATAATTTTAAATAAAGAACACAAGAAAGAATAAAATAGAAGATTTGACATTCACCAAAAAGCCTTATTTTAGTGAAAAAACGCTATTGATAGCGGTGTTCTTTGAAAGCTAAGTTCAGAATTGTCTCTACTGTTTTTACTCAAAAAGGGAGAGGATTCTTTGTAAATGATGTTCCAAGCAACATGTTTTTAAAAATTCAAAAGTAGAGCAACTATAACTATAGACTTACCAGTTTTAGCAGAGCAACTTGATGTGCAGAAAATTAATGCGACACATTTTCAGTATCGTCACTTGTACGAGCGTGGACATTTCTGGAAGATGCAATATTGTGCCATGCATTTTCTAATTCAGAGAAGAACGAGTTGTAATTTAGGCCTGGCCGGTGTGGCTCAGTGGTTGGGTGTCAACCGATGAACCAGGAGATCTCGGTTCGATTCCCGGTCAGAGCACATGCCCGGGTTGTGGGCTCGGCCCCCAGTGTGGGGCATACGGGAGGCAGCTGACCAATGACTCTCTCTCATCATTGATGTTTCTATCTTTCTCTCCCTTCCTCTCTGAAGTCAATAAAAATATACTTGAATAAAATATCCTCTGCATTGTAAGTAAACTTGCTGTGCTTTGTAGGCATTCAATAGCCTTGATGACCAATAACACGGTAAAGGAATCCTTCCTAATGAAACATCCTGTTTTGCCAGGGGCCCTTCCGTGACATCAGTGAAGTACTGGCACAGCGCTACAAGCCTTTGGAACCAACGTTGCGGGTGGCAGAACCCATCACGTCGTTAAAAGAGGCCAGAAGTGAATTCAAAAGATGGGACTCGGCAAAAAATGTTCAAGAGAACATGTGAGTCCTGAGCTTAAAAAAAGCAGCTGTCCCGAGTGTGGGGCCTTACGTTACCTGGTTAGATATTGGAGAGAACTTTTTTTTTTTTTTAATATTTTTACTTTATTTTATTTTATATATTTTATTGATTTTTTTACAGAGAGGAAGAGAGAGGGATAGAGAGTTAGAAACATCGATGAGAGAGAAACAAGGATCAGCTGCCTTCTGTACCACCCCCACTGGGGATGTGCCCACCACCAAGGTACATGCCCTTGACAGGAATCGAACCCGGACCTTTCAGTCCACAGGCCGATGCTTTATCCACTGGGCCAAACCGGTCTCGGCTGCAGAGAACTTTTTAGTTGTGAGAAAAGGTCAGGTCCCCATGATTCCTCCGAAAGCAACCATTTTCAACGACGTGCAAATATTTTAGATAGGACAGTATTGATGAGGATATCGATTGCATATGTGTAGTCAATAGTTGAATTGGATCAGGGGCCCATCCTACTCTCATCTCATTCCTGCAGTGACCATATTTCCAATGAGGTCACAGTCTTCAACATGTTCTTCAAGAGAAACATAGGAAGAGGGGATGGGACTGTTTGAATGTGGATTGCAGAGGATTTCTTGAAGAAGTCACTTCAAAGCTTTATTTGTTTGTTCTTGATCCTAAAGAAGCTGATCCCTCTTTCTTTTGTCTCTTGAAGACATGGTTTTCCTCATTCCTAGGTCTGTGTTTATGAAGCCAGGATGTTACATCAGCAACTTGTACATAACTGGCAAGTAATTTTTATGAGAAGCTCTGACATTTATTAAGTAAGTTTTTATTTATTTCTGAGAGAGGAAGGGAGAGGGGGAGAGAGAGAGAAACATCAATGATGAGAGAGAATCATTGATTGGCTGCCTCCTGCATGCCCCCTACTTGGGATCAAGCATGCAACCCGGGCATGTGCCCTTAGCCAGAATGGAACCCAGGACCCTTCATTTTGCAGGCCGGCACTCTATCCATTAAGCCAAACAGACCACGGCCTGCTTCTTGTTTTAAGTGTGAATTGCAGGCCCAACACTCAACCCACAGTAGGGACATGTGAGTTTTTCTGTTCTCCTTCTCCAGCGTCATATTGGTCCTCAGATTCTCCTTTCTGCCTTTTATGATAAATATCTCTCCATTCACAGTTGCATCTTCTGCATGTGGCTATGCATTTGTGTGATTAACTGGTCGCTATGGCATCAAAGTTATTAAGCAAAATATCTAGAATTCCAATTAAGAACTTAATTTAAAACATAGCCCTTTTGGTCTCAAGTCTGATTCCTTCTGGTCAAGGGCACATACCTGAGTTTCAGGTTCGATCCCCAACCCCAATCAGAGGCAACCAATCGACGTGTTTCTCACATCAGGGTTTCTTCTTTTTCTCCCTCTCCCTTCCATTCTCTCTAAAAACCAATGGGAAAATCACCCTCGATTGAGGATTAACAGAAAAAAAAATTTTTTTTGAATGTAGTGTATAGAAAAGAGACCGGTTCTGTTTATTAACAAAGAATAGTGATAAGGAAGTTCAACACGCCTCAAAACTTTTTTTGACTTATGTGATTCTTCAAACACTTCAGCCCTCTGCAATCTACGTGTTTTTCCGAACGGTTATTGTATTATGGTAAATAGGCATTATCATATGTTTTCAGAGAGTGTTTCCTTAACATTTCAACTTTTATTTGTAACGCTCCCATTTGTTTTAATTACTGGCACAGTGTGCCACATTTATTAATCAGCAGAGCCTTTTTAAGTTAAAATACTAGGTTAGCTAACCCCATTAACACAGAACACTCCAAACAAGCGGTAATGGGAGAGGTAGTTAGTGTGCAAATCGCCTTGCCCACTCAGTGCTCGGGCATCGTTAGCATGATTACCCTCTTTTGATCCAGACTTCTGCCTTTCCCAGCCAATTTCCAGCTGAAATTTGCAAAGGGCTGCCTTCATTCTTCCAGCTTAATTTTCCTCTAATGAAGTTCTGGTGCTTTAGAACACGGGGGATACAGATAATCAGCTTGTGTATCATTAAGAAGTTCTAGAATTTGTCTACAAAAGATCCCTTTGTTAGCTGTATGGTGATGATTGCTCTTTTGTTGTCCCCTGTTGCCTTGAAAATAGAATGTTTGTTTTTTTGTCTTAAATAAATGACCACGGAATTGTGGAATTTCGTTATTACAGACCTCTAAGTCTTAATATGTTTAAGATGTATAACATCGCTGAAACCAGTTTGGCTCAGTGGATAGAGCATCGGTCTGCGGACTGAAAGGTCCCAGGTTCGATTCCAGTCAAGGGCATGTACCTTGGTTGCGGGCACATCCCTGGTAGGGGATGTGCAGGAGGCAGCTGGTCAATGTTTCTTTCTCATCGATGTTTCTAGCTCTCTATCCCTCTCCCTTCCTCTCTGTAAAAAAATCAATAATATATATATATATATATATATATATATATATATATATATTTAAAAATAGATATATAATATCAACATCATAGACATTTTGGAATACTTCCTGAAAATATTCCATACGCTTTTAGTGTATGCAGGCCAACACATCATAAAACTGGGACAGAGAAGGAGTGGTAGGAGGGTAAACCGACCCGTGCATGCTGGGCAGCCTGACAGCCGGGCTGAAGAATGCAGGCTTGATCCAACAGGCAATTGGGGTTCATAATTTGTCAGTATGAATTATCTGGCAGTGAAATAAATGGGTTGGAGGAGAATCTAGAATTGTAAATGCCTAGAAAAATGGGGGGAAATGAAAGAGAGTTATCAGGAAAAAAAATGGTAAGTGTAATTTTCCTTATTTGGGAAAAAAAAGATGAGGTATGTTAATTCTCAGTGCATAAAGACTGTATATTTGCAATGGTCCCATTTTCCCTGAAACTAATTGGCTGTTTTGTTTTGGTTTCTGGTTTTTTTATGTTTTTATTTTTTCATTAAGGTATTATATGTGTACATATCTTACCATTGCCCCCCACTCCCCTACATGCCCTCACCCCCAGTGTTTTGCGTCCATTGCTTATGCTTATATGCATGCATACAAGTCCTTCAGTTGATCTCTTATCTACCCTACCTCTCCCTAACCTTCCCTCTGTAATGTGACAGTCTGTTTAATGCTTTACTGCCTCTGTATCTATCTAATTGGCTGTTTTTAAATTTTGCTTTCTGAGACCTCTACCAATTGTTCTCCAACTGCCCAGACATTCACGTAATGACGTGTTTGTAAAAGCCAAGGCATGCCCCCTACTGGGGATCGAGCCCATAACCCAGGTGTGTCTTGACTGAGAATAGAACCTGTGACCTTTTGGTTCATGGGTTGATGCTCAAACACCGAGCCACATCAGCCAGGCTAAATTTTTATTTGTTTAATCAAACATCTCTAGAAATCCAATGAAGAATATCACCTTACTGCTCTTTCAGGTTTTTGCCATTCTCTTCCTACCATAAGAATAGAAAGTACGTTCCATCAATGCATTTATCAAGCAAGTATGGTTCCAGTCACCGTTTCAGAGATGAAAATCCTGCAAAGTGGATTGGTGGCAAGGTAAGTTGATGCAACATTAAAAAAAAAAAGTGTCCCCTTTAACAGGCTAAAATAGACAACAAATATAAATTGCAATTAATACATTAAAAAATACAAATGATTCACCCTTGGACATTAAGCTACTTCAGAAAAACAAAGATCCTTATGCTAATGTCTATTCCTAAATGAATCTGGTTCTTGTTGGCTCTCTACAACAGATTCACTTCATGCATCCTGGCATATTCCAAGAATATGCCCGGATCTAACTTAAGTAAGCAGTTCATGGAAATGTAGAGATTTTTGGATACTCACTAAAAAGAAAAATAATTTATTTGGGAATTGTTTTTTGGGAGTCATTGTGTGCCCTTATATACTTTTAGAATGTATATATATAGTTAAAAAATTAATGATGAGTAATGTTCTTGTAGGCCCCGAAAATAAGCAAGAAATATATAGGAATTCTTTAAATTTTAATAAATCATTAGTCTACTTAATCCAAAACAAAACCACGTAGAAAAACATTAAATGCAAACTTGAATTTCTCTTTTCTCTCGTCCCCTCCCTTTATTTTCTCCCTTCCTTTCCTACTTCTTCCCACCTTCCTTCTGATCTCTTCAAATAACGGTATTAAATAAATTATCCCTCTCTGTAGCTCTATAACCTGCGCAACACCGAAGTAGTCATTCTATTATTGATATGTAAACCTTAGAATTATTAAAAATACTTTTATTTCAATTTGATATTAAGTAATTTGGGTGAGACTTGTTGTACCCCATAAACTGCTAAAATCAGGCTTATTTTTCTTTTTATATATATATAAAACTTCGTTTCCTGAGCTCAGAAATTGGAGGCCACAATTTATTCATTTTTAATTGACTCAAGACAGTTTTAGGGAGTTGTGACATTAAAAAAGCTAAAGAAGGAAAAGGCTAGAGTAGTGAAGACGGATATTGAAACCTTGTAAATGCACGTATGATGTATTTGAGTACAATAGATTGCTTTCAGCCAAGAAACAGCTCAATTAAGTATTTTTTGTTCCTGTTCTTCAGCCTTTTCATCATGGTTGAAGATTGTCTACACAGAGAACTTACCCTTCTACCTTCTTTAAGCAGAGAGATTAAAATTTTCAAATAACCTTTTTAAAAATATATATTTCAATATTTAAAATAGAAATGAAACTTAATAAGGGGACTACACTGATCACTATTAATTTAATCTATTTGGGTAGATGTAAAAGACTTGGACAATTAAAAGCTCCGTATGCTATAAACATTCTTTTGATTATCAAAGCACTTACCTATGCTTGTGTTAACCAGTGCACAAATGATGGTCTAGGCCCCTCTGTCTTGATTGGAATTAGCTTTTATATTCACTTTAGACAACTGACTTCAATGGGACTTTGTTTATCTTTTCCTTTGCTCGCAAAACCCGGGAAGAGACTGATGTTGACCCGCTTTATTATTGGTGAACGACACCGCTAGAGCAGCCTTTTTTTGTGTGTGTGTGTGCTTTGTTTTGGTATGTCCACGCGCATTTGGGTCCTAAACAAGAATCGATAAGCTCCAAAGCATAAAAAACAGCCAGTCCTCCAGAGGATTAATTTGGAGGGCCTAAGCATATTGCACAGAACATAAAGCTGACCTTTCCCGCCCGGGGCCCGGGGAATGGAGGGGGATGCGGAACGTATCAGAGGTTTAATGTGGCACATCGCCGGCTGCAGGGACTTGGGTGGGGCCGGGGCTGCTTGCCCGCTGCACCCGGTGATTGAATCCGCTGTCACCGGGGCCCCGTAGTAATGAGCGTGCAGCCTAACGACCGTGATTATGATGATGGTTATGGATGCGCCCGCGCGGCGTGTGGGCTCATTAGGGCTGCACTGTACCCGGAGCCACGCGCCCCGGTGAGGGGCGATCTTACCTCTGTGCCCTGATTGCGATAAAATATGCCTCTCTGTTTCAACAGGCCAACTCCACGGAATTTTAAGAATCTTCCCCGTGCTGTTGATAGATGATTATGCACTCGCTGATAAACAGCCCCTTGCAGTTGTTGGTTTTGTGTTGTTTCATTTCATTAGTGAGTGTAAACAGTTAAATAATTGGGTGTAATTGAGGGAAAATATTTTGCTGATGAGGATGGCCTGCAGGAATGCAATATTCAGTGGGAGGGCTTTTTTTTTTTTTTTTTTTCTTTTTCTTTCCTTTTTTCTCTCTCGCTAATACATTGGGGACTGAGATTCTTTCATTTCCTCCCTTTTATTACCCTGGCGTCAGACTTCTTGAAGTCAGTAGGTTTCAGGAAACGTATACGTTTATATAATTTTTATTATAAATCAATAGGTTCGTTTGTATTTGCATGTAATATTTATATATACTCTGCCTAGTTTATTATGCTCTTTAGAACATTGCACAGAGCCGAATATTGGCATATTGTTGGTAGAAAAAAATAAGTTACCTATAGAATGGTTAAGTGTGAACTGTTGAGATGAATATATTTATACAACCTTTGCTTTGTAATCGCTGTCTTGCTTCTGATAGATTTCTTACATTGTGTAGTAATTTTCAATATTTTAAAAGTGGCTTTGATGCCAGAATCAGGTTGGCTCAGTGGATAGAGCGTCGGCCTGCATACTGCACACCTCCCACTGGGGATGTGCCCACAACTAAGGTACATGCCTTCGACCAGAATCGAACCTAGGACCCTTCAGTCCGCAGACTGACGCTCCATCCACTGAGCCAAACCGGTTTCGGCTCTTCTCTGCATTATTGCAAATCCAAAATAATAACCAGCTAAAATTTCCATTTCTGGGCTTCCTGCTTGAGCATTCATTTGAAGAAATTGTTCCGTCATGAAAATTAATATTGTGGGTTTAATTCAATTTAACATACTTAACTGAATATTTTCCCAATTATGCCTAAAGGCAGCATATCTTCTCGTAAAGACATTCTTCACAGAGTTACTTCACTAGACATTTATAGTTATCCTAAAAAAGATGCTAGAAGCCATATTGCTACAACTTGTAACTTCTGTTGTATAAGTGGCAGGTTGGTAATCGTGTTATTAACTCTGCATTCATTTACAAGTTACTTTTTATGTGGCTGCTATAAGATTACATGCTATAGGGGAACATTTAAATCTGCTAGCATGTTAAAAGTGGAACAAATATGAAATATCAGATAATTAATAAATATCAGATAATTAATCTGCTAGCATGTTAAAAGTGGAACAAATATGAAATATCAGATCACCTAACTAAAAGGTGATCACTTGATAGTCCAAGGCAGCCAACGACTTTAAGGATATTGATGACATACTCTCAAGACACAAAAGTAGTCGAAATATTTCACAGTGTTGGCTGGAAGGATACAAATATTGACCTTACTTTCTTATTAAATCTATTCCAAGAGCTATTTGTGAGGGTTTTGCTCACCACCATTGGAATATTTAATAAAATCTAATTCTCCTCCTCTGTAATTCCTTGGTTGAAAAATGTGCTCCCTTGATGATGATCGAGGGCTTTGGAGAATAAATGGATTTTAAGGAGAAAATTAGATGGTCCTTATTATGCTGTCTCACCAGCGAGGCCGTGCCATTTGTCTGTTGTATTACAAATGCCTTGCTTTGCCTAACTTCTTCATTTAATCGTGCAACTCGCCTGTAAGCAGCATTAGAGAGGGGAAACGTGGCTGTGTTACTCTTACAATTGATTTCTTTGCTCATCCCTGCGACAGCTCACACCGATTATGCTCAATACAGAATTCATCTCTCCTCCCGACACCCAGTATCTTCCAAATCCCTCCCATCCACACAGGGACTGACTCACTTATGCCAGACGCTAGGAGACAGACCAGTTTCCTCCCTCTGCTTCCTTCAGAGGCCCTCTCCCAAGTGAAGTTAGATGCAGCTGGCAGGTTTCGTATTTAAACAAGTTAAATGCTGATATAAAAATTGCATTTCACAACCTGGCCAGTGTGGCTCAGTGGTTGTGTCAACCTATGAACCATGGTTCGATTCCGGTCAAGGGCACATGCCCAGGTTGCAGGCCCGATTATCAATAGAGGGCGTGTAGGAGGCAACCAAGCAATGATTCATTGAAACACTGATCAGCTGCCTCCTGCACACCCCCCACTGGGAATGTGCCCACAACAAAGGTACATACCCTTGACCAGAATCTAACCTGGGACCCTTCAGTCCACAGGCCGACACTCTGTCCACTGAGCCAAACTGGCTTTGGTTAAAATCAATTCTTAAAAATTTTAAAAATTGGATCCAAGTCCAAAATTAATTTTTCTTAGGGTACATAAAATATATTTTATGTGCATTCATTCGGTGTTTTATAACTTTAACTCTGTACTCTTTCTGAGTATGTTCCTTTATGAATCAAATGATTCATCGTTGGAAGGCTGGAGGCATATCTGTCCAAATTTCTTTGTAGCTCACCAACCTAGTACCCTGTGTCAGGCTGACCTTTATGATAGCAATGATGAAGAACAAATAGCATTTGCAGTATACTTTTTCCTTTGCTTTTATGTCGTGTGTACTATTTAAGAAAATTGCTTCCTTTTTATTTGTCGACTTAATCAGTACTAGTTCATTTATATTGCTAAAACCTACAAACCCTGAAAAAAGGCGAAAGCATTTCCTTCAAAACAGCATTTCCCAAAAGAATTAAGTGGAATTTGACTATTTTTGTTTGGAGCCAAAACTTTGCTGACTTTCTCTCTTCTATGATTTTTGAGACAGCGTATATTGTTCTTCTAATTGAATGCAGAAATCATCTGTCATTTTCATGTTGACATTTAATATGCATAAATAATGTCCAAAGGGTGGAAGCAATCTAATCTGCAAGTATGAATATACTTTCTGGTCCTAACAGCATAAATTAAGGTAGTACAGGATGTGATATATAAAATGTAAACTCAGTTTTGAAAGTAAGTTTCCATATATACAGCTAGTATGACCTAAATTTCAATGTATAGTAAAAATTCTAAAAGTATTCCAGAACAAAAAAAGATGGGGGGATA